ACTTCCTGGAACGGAGGAGGACAGAATGCCTGAAGTACTATGGGCCCTGGCGAAGAAGTGGGCACCTTAGGGACATACCCGACCCTCGGGTAAAGGAATGCCCTAACCATGCCTGGAGCAAATTCCAGGCACGAAACAGAAAGTGCCTGCAGATCCCCGATCCTTTTAATTGAGGAAATAACGAGGAGAAAAATAGTCTTGAGCGTGAGAAACTTGACTGAAACTTCTTCTATGGGTTCAAAGGGTGCATTGCATAAGCCCTCCAGAGCCACAGCCAGGTCCCAAAGGGGCACCTTAGTGCGGTCAGTGACAGTGTGTCGTTTCCTGCGACGCAAATAGATCCACTTCCGCCTGGCCAAATTCCCTCCAGAGGAGCTCCACCACCTCGGGGTGGAGTCTCCATCCCCCGGGCCTCAGTCCCTGTCTCGACAGGATGTCTGCCCACTGATTGAGATACCCAGGGATGTAGACTGCTCTTAGCGAGAGGAGTTTCCCCTGAGCCCACAGAAGAATCTGGCGCGCCAGCTTGTACAAGGGGCGCGAACGCAGACCCCCCTGCCGATTGATGTAGGAGACCACCAATGTGTTGTCTGTGCGGACAAGCACATGATGTCCCCTTAGGTCTGGAAGGAAGTGTGTCAGAGCTTGAAACACGGCCAGCATCTCCAGGCAGTTGATGTGCCAAAAGAGATGATGGCCTTCCCACAGACCCTGGGCAGAGCGGCCACTCATGACCGCTCCCCAGCCCGTGAGTTCTGTAGCCTTTCTCTACAACCTGCAGGACCCATTTTGATATATTTGGCAGAAGTTCCCACGCTGCCAGAAAATCTACTAAGGGAACCAGCCTCTCGAGGCTGGCCTCTGGTTTTATTAGAGGAGCCAGTTCGGTGCCCTGAAGCGGATGACCGGCAGGGAACAACCGACCATACTGCTGTAGCCCCTTCACTTGAGGGGGCGAGCTCTCCCGTGCCGTACCTTTGCCGGGCGGCAGCTGGGATTTTCGCTCGTCGGAGCTCACTGAGCCCTGAAGCACCGAGGGTGGCAGGGGTATCAATGAACCTCCATGAGAGCACTGATGGAACAACCGACC